CCTAGGAGGAACCACCATAGCTTTCTAAGCCTACACTTTTTCTCGGTTTTGCAAAATTGTGACCGTTTCCCTCTCTCCCCTCCAAGTCACCATAGCCCTGTAAAACCCGAGGTGATGAGTTGCCCTGGAGAGCCTAGACAATCCATATTTTGGAGATTTTGCTTCTTGAAAACAAACAAACAAAAAAAGGTTATTTTTTGTTAGGTATCTTCTCCCCCTCTTCCAGAGAAATCGTTCAACTCCATTCTTTCAGACTCCAATGGGCGTGAGCTATTTACCTACCTGTCTTTCCTTACAAAGGAAAGATTATTCTTTCCAAAATGCAGGCAATATATCAAAGATTTTTTTTTAATGCACCCAACTTCTTCCATCGGTTTGGTGTACAAAGAAAAGTTTCCACACATTAAAAAAAAAAAAAAGAACAGTAATGTGTCAGCCACACATTGTTGCTTGCTCGTAATACGCAAAATCTTTCTCAGTCCCAGCTATGCCTTATAGCTGAAACTCAGTCTTACAGTTTTATTTAATGAACGACACATTTATGAACAATCAAATGATCCTCGTAAAAATTTTATTGAAGGACATAAAAACATCCACGACTACTTGCCGAATAATGCAGCCTTTCACTGTAAAAAGCTCAGTCTTTTTTTTTTTTTTTGGTGGTATTATTATTTTCCCCTCATATTTTAAAAGGTGATCCTCTGATTTTTTTTTGTTCTTTTTTTTTTTTTCCGCCAGAAGACACTTATTTATAAAGCAGAAATAGAGGTGCCCGTGCCCCACACACTTCTTAGCTGTTGAGCAGGCTGACGATTAAACACCGCTGCAAGAGATGACAAAAACGCTCCATCTGTGTTTAGGCTAAGAGCCTTTAAACCCAGCTCCTTTTCCGAAGTGGGGTGGGAAGCCCAACTCTACTACACTTTGCCTTTCCACCGATATTCCATTTAATGTATCCATTATAGACTACAAGCTGCAGAAGCAAAGGACAGAGACAAATTACGTCAAGAAATAGTTCCTGTACTACCTTCCACAATTACCTTCCACCTTCCTCAGCACCGGGGAAAATCTCCCCCAGCCCGCAGGCAGAGCTGCCCGGGGCTAATGAAATGCAAGCCTCCCGCCTCCTAATATCCGCATTATTTCCCCGAGTTTTACGAAAAGCCAGGTCGCATAGGCGCTATTAAAAAAAGACCTGCGGATTGATCCACGCTATATTTTTGGGTAAATACAATCACGTGAGGGCGGGCAGCCAATGGCACACTGGGAAAGGCTGAAAAAATAATTACCTGCCCTGATTGTTCTATGAGAAGATAAAAAGTACACATACAGTTCATACAATAATCTTATGAATGTAAAAGAGGGGGAAACCATGTCGGCTTCGGGCCCCATAAGCAACTATTATGTAGACTCCTTGATAAGCCACGAAAACGAAGAGCTCTTGGCCTCCAGGTTCCCCACCACTGCCTCCCACCCGGCTGCTACCAGACCTTCAGGATTAGTCCCGGACTGTGCCGACTTTCCATCGTGCAGTTTCGCCCCCAAGCCGGCCGTTTTTACCACTTCCTGGGCTCCCGTGCCCTCCCAGGCGGCCGTGGGCTACCACCCGTACGGCCCGCAGGGGCCCGTGGCGGGCGAGCCCAGGTACATGCGGACTTGGCTGGAGCCCGGGCGGAGTGCGGCCCCGCGGACGGCCGCGGCTACGCGGATTACATGTACGCGGCTCCCGGGGAGCTGAGAGACAGAGCAGCGCAGACCCTGCCTTCCCCGGAGGCCGAAGCCATCGCTTCCAGCAAACACAAAGAAGAAAAGCACGAATTAGACCCTAGTAAGTCGAAGTCATTCTTGTTTACGACCGGGGAGGCATTACAGCTTTCCAGTACCGTACTCAATAAAATGGAATTACCTTTAGAGAGCCCCTGCCCTAAAACTCCAGATATGCAGGAAGATCTGGGGGTTAAAAAAAAAAAAAATCCGCCCGGCAGGACCGCAGGACGAATATCTGTACTTTATTTTGGGCTGTTTAGTCGATTTTTTTATTTTTATTATTTTTGAAGGGGATCTATTGGCTTCTTTGATCAAATATTCATCACCTTCCTTAAAAAAATATAAGAGACTGTGAGACAGAGAGGGTTAGGCAGAGCGAGAAGCCTCTTTGCTTTCAAATATTCCCACTTTCAAAGAACAAGGAAGAGTTGTAGTCATCTCCCTGCTGGCTGGAAGTGAGTGTATTGATGTGGGGTTTTGGGGAGGGAAAAAGAATATCTCTGAATAAATGCAGAGGTGTCTCTTTATCTTTGTTACAAATCAATAAAAGCTCCCCTGCTGTTATTATTCCTGAAATATCCCAACACGTGGGAATAAATGAAAAGGTGGGTACCCTGGGGAGAAAAAGGGGGCAAAAAAAAAGCGATGAGGAAAATTAGAATTGTAAAGACATAAACTAAGTGTGTGGAGGTAGCTGAGGGCAAAAGGCAGCGAGTGCAGGACATTGGACCATACACTTGAAGAAACCTCTTCTTCAGCCCCAAGTGAGGGAGAGGGAGGGGAAAAAATAATAATAACAAAAGAAAACAGCACAAAACCTTGAACATTGCAGCACGGGTCCGAGGAATCAGGTAACCACCAGCCCGAGCCTAACTGTCCCCCTGCAACCGGGGCAGCTCAGCTGAGCGGGTACCCCCAAATCCTGCAGAGAGCTGCCAGGGCAAAAAGCCCCTCAGCAGGCAGAGAGCAAAAGGAAAAAAAAAAAAAGGAAAGAAAAAAAAGTCCTTGCAAACCTTGCGGGGGGAGCTGGGCTGGGGCGTGCAGGGGTGAGGGTGCACCCCCGTGCACACACACGCGCACCCAGGCACAGGGGCGAGGGTGCCATGTGTTGATTGAACCTCCTTGGCCTAACTCGCTCCTGAAATGCCGATTTCCCAGCGATAAGCTCCGTGTCAGCAGATGTAACCACCTTTGTGCCTCTCTGTATCGCGCTCTCTATCTAAAATACGTATATATGTAGAGATATATATATATAATTACACACAGGCTGGTGCCAGGCACCCTTGTGAGCAAAATGAGTTTGAAGAACCAGGGGCGGATGGGTGCTCCGCTGGCAGAGAGCTCCCTAAACCGCGGAAAAGCAAAATATTATTCCAAGGAGGAATAAATACCCTGGGTTATCCCGTAGCATTTTCGTCCTGACCGAGTGGGGTAGTGGCAGTAACGTGAAGGGTCCTTTTAGACTAGGAAAACCTATTTCTGGCAGCCAGTGGGACATCTTTCGTGTCATCCTTAAGAGACTGAAAAAATAAACTCGACTTTCCAGGTCTGTGAGATCTTCTAGGGAAAGTATTGGAGAGCAGAGGTTGTAAAAAGAGTTTATGGGCCTATGAAATGGTGGGAATTTTGACTTTTTATGACTATGTTCTTAGATTACTGCTAGTAGCAGTCATGTGGATAATTATTATTTTAAACCCATTGCTACAGTTTTATTTACTGAAACTTTTATGTGAGAACAGCAGCAAAAGAAAAGGAAATGACCCCCTCCAAAATAAACATATTAAACTCTTCTGAAGGTCACTTAAAATATTTAGGTAAGATCTGCTAATTAAACAGGTTTCTTTCTAGAGATATATCTGGTCGTGGAGGGGGGAAGGGAAGAAAGGCAGCTGTATACATTGATTTTTTTGTTCAAAAAAAAAAATCTTCTTTCTCAGACAATCCCGTCGCAAATTGGATTCATGCGCGCTCCACGAGGAAGAAAAGATGTCCTTACACAAAGTATCAGACCCTGGAACTGGAAAAAGAGTTTTTATTCAATATGTACCTTACACGGGACCGAAGGTACGAAGTAGCCAGAGTCCTTAATCTCACTGAACGCCAAGTCAAAATCTGGTTTCAGAACAGGCGAATGAAAATGAAGAAAATGAATAAAGAAAAAACCGATAAAGAACAGCAATAAAGTTGGCAAAGTCCAGTCAATGAGAAACGAGGGTGGAAAAAGAAAAGAGGCTGGTTTTTGGGTTTGAAATGTTTCTGACTTTGAATGTGCGGATGAATGTTTAGCATTATAGTCGAACACAGCAAGCGTTTTGGAACATGAGTCTTTTCTAAAATGCAACTAAATAAAAGAAAGATGTTTGGGGGGTTTGTTTTCTTTTCCTTTCTTCTTCCTTTTTTTTTTTTTTTTTTGTCCCCCTCAGAAAACAAACCACGAAAAGTACTTGAATTTTTTTTTTACTATTTTATTTCATAAGTTAAACTTATTCAGTATTTTTATTTTTTAACTTCGTGAGCTCGTGAGTTGAATATTTTGTACAAAAGAGAGAGAGAGAGAGAGAAAAAAAAAAGAAAAAAGAGAGATAAAAAAAGACTTAAGGAAATATGGCTCCATGATGTCCTGTCATAGTGTTGAACGTTTCTGCTGTACCGATTTTGTGTATTTTATTCTTGTCTCAGAACCGTTCTGTAATATTGTTATGTTCGCTATTGTAGAGCAGCTCTATGTAAATATACAAAAAAAAGAAAAAAGAGAGATAAAAAAAGACTTAAGGAAATATGGCTCCATGATGTCCTGTCATAGTGTTGAACGTTTCTGCTGTACCGATTTTGTGTATTTTATTCTTGTCTCAGAACCGTTCTGTAATATTGTTATGTTCGCTATTGTAGAGCAGCTCTATGTAAATATACCTAACTTCACGGGAAGGAAAAAAAAAGGTAAACGCTAAAAGTGAAATGGAGAACTTTGTACCCTGCTTACCATGTAAGGCAAATAATTTTCTGAAAGCCAGAAGACTCATAAAAAATTATATCTACGTAATACCACTACTAAATACCAAATTTCCTTATCAGTTTTTCTGTTCTTGGGAATGACAGTGTCTTTTAATCCAGGTTATATCTATGGAAGACTAAACTGTGCAACTAAGTCGATACCAATACTATTGTGTAAAGGCAGAATGTAAGCCAGTGCTGCGTGATTACTTTTGAGTATTATAAAATTAAGTTTAAAAAAAAACAAGCAAACCTATCAGCAATTGACTTGATTCTACAACACAGTGATGTGCATCTCTGCTATTTAAAAAAAAAAAAAAAAAAAGGAGGATGTGGGGAAAAAGGGCTGGGGGAGAGAAAGAGCAGGGGGATAAATGTGTGCTGGCGGTGCAAATTTTCGGGCTAAAAGGCAGGCTTCCCCCCACCCTCCTTTCGCCGTACGTGGGATTAAAAAAAAAAGGCTGTTTGCTGCTGAAAGGTCAACCCCCACCATCCTGCCAGGGCGAAATGGGGGTTTCTGGTGCTCCAGTGGTTTGTGCAGAGGCGAGAAAACACGCTGCCCCCAGCGCGTTTGAGCTGGGATTTATCAATGGCTTCTTCTCTGGGCGCTTTCCAGGCTGCTGAATGAGAAACAAGAGGCAGGAGATTGTATAAAAAATGAGCAGCGAGGGATGTTTAATCATAAAAACTTGTTATAGGGCCCTTTATTTAATGAAATGAATGGAGCGGCGTTTTAATCTTTCTAATCAAAACCAGATCAGGCGAGCAAGATACTTTTGTCGCCCTCATCCCAGTTCCTCCGAAATCAAAAAATCTGGAAGCGATTACTTCTGCTGATCTCATAAAATATTACTCTTTAATATTTCTTGCTTAAACATTTGGAGGATTTCTTTCCCTTGCCTGATTTGTATCCTCGCTTTTAAAGCGCGGGATCTATTTTTGTCCCTGGAGAGGGACACGGTCTATCAGTGGAAACATCACTGGAGCAGGGGAAGCTAAAAGCCCTTTTACAATCCCAGTTTTGTGCTGGGTCTGTTTGGAAAACCTTAACAAGCGCAATGAAATGGTCAGGTTAGAAAACATTTTAGCAGAGCGAAGATTTATGGACCGAAAAAAAAAAAAAAGAGAGAGAGAGAGAGAGAGAGAGAGAAAGGGAAATCTTTCTGCCTAAGTCATGTCAATTCATTTATTTATTTTTATGTTTCCCCTCCCTTCTCTCTATCAGTTTATCCCGACTTAAAAAAACAAAACAAAACAAAACAAAACCCTGCAGGGTTGGAAAGCGGTTCGCTCACGTCGTCTTCGCAATAGAGGCGAAATCGACCTGTTTTCTTATTAATTAAGAGCGAGTCATAACCGTCGTTTGGACTTTGGGAAGGCGCTTGCGGACGCCGCTCTCTGGAGGGGGGGAAACTGTCAGGCGATGTTTAGCGATGTTGAAAAGGCATGATGTATGGAAGTTCATTTTGGCCCCCCTTTCATTCAAACGGATCCCATTTCCAGTGAGACCACAGGCTGCTCCCTCCCCCAGCCCTCCCCTCCCTCCCCAGCCCCGTCCTCCCTTGCCGCAGTCGTCGCTCAGGCAAGGTCCCGCTA